AAGATAATTGGAGCCAAAAAATTTTTTCCTACAAAGATTTACATGCATACCACTCAATTCTTATGTATTTAAGTATCTAACATCTAAATTTCAATTTTACTTTTATATATACATACATATATATATATATATATATATATGCATCTTAATCATATATAATGATATTTTAAATTGACTTAAAACTGTTTTATATTTAATCATTTATATATATAAATAGTTTCAAGTTAATTTCTCAATCAATCTTTTAATCCTTAAAGAATTGTCTTTAATTCAAGAAATTATTGAGTACGGAGAGCGTACGCAAGCTGCTTGCGCTCTTCGACATCAACCATCCCTTTAATTTTTTTTTTTTTAAATTTAGTAAAAGTGTGACCCACTGATATACATAGATGATTGATGTGCGGCTGTGGTCGGAGAACGCACGTGGCATACATAGATGATTGATGTGTGGCTATGATCGGAGAACGCGGCTGTGATCGGAGAACGCACGTGACATACATGGATGATTGATGTGCGGCTGTGATCGGAGAACGCACATAGCTCTGCGTACGCTCTCCGTACGCAATAGTTTTTCCTTTAATGCGATCACTGCACCAGAAGAGAAATAGAAAATTCCTGCGCACAAATTCCCTATAATTATTGTTAAATTTTTATGGTATGTATATGAACCTCACTATCGTTTCCATGGACAAATAAGCCTCCTAATAGCAAAAATTATAAAAAAATACGACAATTATGGTTAGAAATATATTTAAAAGTTCATTTCAACTAAAATACCCATGGCTTTACAAATAGGGTCAAAATTATGGATTTGTTCATAACCAAATCATTTTAACCGAATTAAATTTTGGTTGGATCGGTTCAGGCTCAATTTTATCAAAATTTAGATTGCTTCGATTTTTCGGATGTTGAATTTTGGTTACAATCAGTTTGACCAATTTGAAAACCGGTCTACTCAAACCGGCCAAATGTTACCTCTTTAAACAAACATAATCTTTCAATCAATGTAACTTTTCAAGCTACTTCCTAACATTGCAAAATGTGTGTGTTCACGCTACAATGAAGTTTCACAACGATGGCCTCTCCTTTTATGGACTAGGAGGATTCTGTATTGTCACACGCTACGCTTGATTGCTTAGATTTAAATATATTGTTCATGCTCTTTAATCCTGAACCCAAAAGATCATTAGTTGCTATAAATTACACGTTGAGAATTTAGCAGAGCCTTTTTTGGGTCACTTTTAGCTTAGAACCATGAATAAATTATTTTAAAGTTATATTCAACCGCTCTTTAAATAAATTATAATTGATTAAGATTTAAATGAAATTTGAATCATGATTTAATTATATGATTGAACAAGCTTCAAACCATCTTCACATCATAATCAAACAAGATTTTATTTGTCTTCAAATTATGCTTAAATTATTTTCCAAATCTTATTCAAACTTTCAAAAAAAAGTTCAAATAATATTCATATAAGTTTCATATAAAATTTGATCAGAGTGCGAAAGTAGTTGGAAGAGTTTTGATGATGGTTGAATCATACTTTATGATGAATCGAAGATAATTTGAATATGGTTTAAAACTGGTTCAAAGATGGTTTAATCATGGCTCCATCGTGAACCCGAAGATCGTTCAAATCATGATCAACGAAAGGTTGAAAATGGTTCAAAGATGGCTTAATTATCGTTTGATTATAGTTTAAAGATGACTATTCAAAGAATATTCAAGTCATGATAAAAAATGATTCATAGATGATAGAATAAAGATCTAAAGATGATTCAATCATTCTTTGAATATAATTAAAAAATATTTCATTTTATTTTGCCCTTATTGTCTCTTTTGAAATTTATTCATTTAAAGTATTTTATTATACATGTGAATCTCCACTCTATATATATATATATATATTGCAATGAAATTGATTTGAAGACACAATCGTTGCGGCATCTTGCATCATTTAAAGCTCATTTGATCTTTCTATTTATTTTATTTTATTTCATTTCATTTTTTTTATCAAATTTGGATGCCTTTTTAGCACTTTGGAGTTTATTGAGATGTGAGTTCATTTTAATGCTTAGTTTTAACACCCAATATGGATCCTACTAATAATAAATAAAAATCACGCTAATCTGGCGGTCGTTAGTAGCTGCCTCCTAGATTGATTTGTCAGACTAAATGGTTTCAGATGGTTCAACTCATAAGGTTCCACAATCCTAGATGTTTGGTTTAATAATATCCTTAGATCTACTAATTATATGCCCTCGATAGCTCCATTATTATAGCTTTCATGATTGTTTTTTAGACATGACATCAACTATCCTCCTATTGCTTCCTTTCTCAATGTCTTCAACCATGATACACATTGGTTAATTTCTAATCAACACCTTAACTACTAGTCACCATATCATGCTCCAATTCCTTCCGGCTTTATTAATATCCCAACGCCTAGCAATGGCCTCGCTAGTTCTCATTTGAATGACACCATCATTCCATCTAATTTTTGTTCTCAACGACTTAATGGTCGACATCTTCACGAGTGTCACCCCACCAATTCAATCAAAACTCTCTACACTCAACTCTCTGATTTTCTACTATTTTTGTTTGATTTTACCCACCTTGATATCCATAATATTCAATCTAGTCATCTATGTTAGACCCAAAACACAACACCACCAACTTCTAAGCCAATCAGAACATACTCATTTAACACTAATCAGGATTCAATACACGCCCTTCATATATAACAACTTGCCACTACATAATAAAAGCATCTCCAATCCCAATTTCAAGAGGCCACAATAAGTTCTGAAGTAGATAATAAAAGTATTGCATTCCTCTTTTAAATGTGTTAACAATGATTTCATAAGAGCACTATTATGTTACCATCGAGATTGACATCATATAAAGAAAACTCTTCATTTTCTTTCTCCTCTACCTCATTATTCACTCATCAACTCTAGCCCTAATATATATTATATACTACTTTAATAGTTGGTGCATCCCCTTCAAAGTTGAATTACCCCCTTATTGTATCATAGAATTGAAATATATAATATCATAGAATTGAAATATATAAAATCGTGTACTCTTCACCTATCTTCTCCATCTCTTTCTTCAATCATCTTCCTCTTGTTGAGATGTAGGTCATCTTCATCAAAACAGATTATACGGATATCCCTAAAGGGATTGATTTCACATATTTTTCATACTTTTCCCCCAAGCATGAAATATTTTTTGTGCTATCTCCCCGTCTTATTAGCCAGACGACACCCTCCCCCAATGACATTTAAAACACTTTTTTAGGGCTTCACATCCATGTCATCATATCACCACTCTTAATACAGAGATTACCAATGAAATAAATGACTCTTTGATAATAATTCTCTTAATTAATCTAAGCAAATTAAATTAAGTATCCCACACTTCATTATTTTTATTCTTGCATTATATTTTCTCCTTGATCTCAAGCAACTTGTCAACTTTTTAAGCTTCCCGTGATGGCTACTTGTGAATAATAAAAAATGGCCTTAAGAGTGGTTAGCCATTCACAAAGCACAAAATTCAGAGAAAATTAGTTTGAAATATATATATATATATATATAATGTGTTTTAGGTACATGTTCGAGTTTAAACAGTTCCCATGATAGATATTGATGTCGTGAGAACCATAAGCAATTGATTTTGAAAATGACCGGAATAATGGGCCATGTGACAGGCTATCAAGTAATAATTTGTCAAAAAGCATACAAAAGTTGATTGGTAGATTACACAAAGACTTATCTTTGATGGTGATTAAAATTTAAAGGAGCGGCCAATTAACGGGACCAGGGAACTTCTGTCTACGTGGAGTTTGTTATGCTATTGATGTAATTATTATAGTGTAGGATAAGAAGAATAGCATTTTCTAAAATTTAAGGGGCTAAATGAATAGATTGAGGTGGAATTCGAGTCTATTGGTAACGTATGGGTTATCTAATTCAGACTGCGTTGTTGATGTTGATGGGATTTGATAGAAATTATTCTTAATGAGGCGAACAACTATTACCAAACATGAGAATTATTCAAAGTTTGTCTCTCCATACAGTCTCACATTCAGGACTAGTGTCAAGTTAAACATCTGTTTAGAATTCTTGGTTGATTTGATCTTAGTTTTAGACTAAAGTTTGAGATCAATAATGAGCAATCAGACTATCATACTGAAGCACATGGACATCATATAAAAAAAGAAATTTTTAGATCTTTTTATTCTGCCCTTGCAAGTTCAAAAAAAATATTTTTGCTTCCAACGGAATAAATTGATTACCTCTTGATGACAAATCCAATGCTTTAAAGCTTCTCCTACTTAAAATTGTGGAAGGTAACCTTGCAAAATTTATGACCACCATATAATATTAATGCTCGTTTAAGATACAATAAAGTGCCTATTTTATAAAATCCAACTCATATTAGGAATCAACCATGGCTCTAATTTTATGCTAAGAAGAGCACTAATTTGCTTGTAGCTAATTTACACGTGCAGCCTCCGGCTTTATTTTATCCGCTTATCTGTTGAAAGTTATACGCAAGAAAATGGAAGCAATCGCTGAAACTAAAAATAGACATTACACACGAGCATTCAATACAAAGCAAAAGAGCTTCTATTGTTGCTAATCTCCCTCTCTCAGAAGATTTAATTGTGCATCCCTAAAATCTTAATTACTTTTACTAGTAAAACAAACAGCTGAATATGAAAAATAAGCTAACAAACCTACCAAACTAATATCTTTACATGCAATACAAGCAAAATTTTAATTTTATTCCTTAGAAAGAAAAATAATCTTAAACAACTATATATACAAAAAAACAAAACGTTAAAAAAGACAGAACAAAGATATACAAATAAAATCCACAGATTGAAGAAAAAGATATTCAAAATACTTATACTATTCTCAAAAGAAAGCATAAAACCTTGGATGACCGAAATAGCTGAAGTTAGGGCAATGAAAAATAGCAGGAATTGAATAAGGCTGAAGAAAATAATATTGATAATCATGATGAACTGAGCTTGATTTATTGAGATATAAAAAGTACCACAAAAATTGTCTGATGACATGTGATTTCTGATTAAGAAGCATCCACCGTTTTCTTCATTAGTGCGCTCTATGGGGAAAAAAAATCAAAGAGGTTATTTTACTCCTGAAGCCCTCTGGCAAATTTTCTTATCGGTTAAAACTTTTTGGAAGATTTTTTTAGCGGAAGATGATGTTTTTGCGACGCTCATGATGGATGCAGTTCTGGAGCCAACCATAGCTTTACTTTCTTGTCAGTACTGGCTGATGCTAAAACAGCTGCCTGAATGTTCCCTGCAAAATATATGAGAAGCCATCATGATCGACATGAAACATATTTTTAAAGGAAAATTTAGGCATGCAGTCATAAAGCCGTTGAAGATGAAACATTGAGGGGGTGTTTGGCTATACCCCGGACTTAACTTAAATTTTTAATAAATCCTATAAATTCGAATTTATCAAATCCAAAAGAGTTAAATCTAGAAAAAAATTTGATTCGATCAAGGTTAAATCCAACTAATTCCTATGAAGTGTTTTACGACCAGAGAAGCGACAACTCTCACATCTTCACTTCAATCCGTTAAATCCATCTAATAATTGGATTTAATAAATCCAGGAATTATGTCAAAAACAGAAAATTTTGGATTTAGAAAACTGCAGGATTTAACTTCAACCTTTTTTCCTTTTGACAGATTTACGTTAAATATTAACGTAAATTTGCGTTTAAATTACGCACTAAACACCCCTAAAAAAGGTGGATACAATCGTAAGGCTAATTTATATTCATTTATTCAGATGATGTAATAAGTTTGAACAATCTTTCAGGCGGATCATTTATATTTGTGAATATATTTAGTTGAGTTTAACAATTTGCTCGCTAAAAGGTGGATTAAAATGTTAATTTGATTATTTAACTCCTTATTTGGTGAATTCTTCTATACATTTCAATCATTTTTATATAATATGCACTTCAAAAATGTTGCATATTACTATAAATATAAGTATGATAAACATATTAAGCAAATAATCAGACCGATAGAATAAAATTTTATTTTTATTCATAAAATATTAAAAATAATGCTCAGTAAATTATTTCAATTTTGATGAAATGTATAATCATACATGCAAGTATATAAAAACATTAGCATCCTAATATAGTTAGCCAGGCCTGATTGTGGATTGACCATAAAAAGAAAAATAAAGAAGTTTGTAAAAGTATTTAATCATTTATATCCCTAAGGCTGAGAACTAATTCGGATTAATTTTGTGTGGTAGGGCATTAATCAGGTGATTCAGCTGGGTGAATCAGTCCAACAATTCAGTATTACGTTACTTAATAAAACATATTGCTACTATAATTTAATAGATGAGTTGCTTTGTGAGTTGTCCGGTACTCCAACCTATCAAACAACAGACTAATTACTCGTGAAGCACTATAAAATCTGATAGCAAATTCATACTGAGAAGAAAAAATAGATTTTTAAACTGTGAAGAATCATACCATTTGGAATCGCTTGAGGAGCCCACGCAATGCCTGTAATGTCACCTGTTTATCGGTAAAAAATCGTTAAATATGCATGAACAAAAAAAATTTAAAAATTAATAAATTACATGTTTTCAAAATAATACTTAAGTATGAATGTCTTAGAAGGAACAATGTCACTGCATTTCACATTTTTTTGTATTTCAAGACTCAAGTTGATACCATGTTTATCCAAGCAAAAAACAAAAAAAAATGTACATGCGCTGTTTATCATGGCGGCTCATTAGTAAAAGAGCATTAGCAGCAACAAATGTCATTAAAATATCAAATAGACGCAGCCCGCACCATTCACAATATGTGACTTGCATATATATATATATATATATATATACTCAT